TTCACGGATATGTATTTACTTTTATGTATTTGTTTTAATTTTATATATATTATGACATACGTCATATAAGTGTGTGTACAGTACAATAATTTATAAATTACTTTTCCAATAATATCTATATTAACATAATATATGCTTATGTGTTTGTGTGTATATACAGTATACAGTGCTTTTTATATAATTTATTTACTTTCTTGTACATTTTTTAGGTATAATTATTACATGCCAGATACATTAATAAGTTCATTTACTTTTCACAAATAATTCTTATACTGTACATTCTGATTAAATAATTGATTTCACTGTATACACACTTATATGATCTATATATTTGTTATTTATTTATTTCTATATATATATAAAACATATAAGTTATAATTCATATAAAATCTCTGCTTCTGCTGTAATGGATGCTTACACACACATAAGAAGAGTCCTTTCACCCAAAGCAGATGTTGACAGTCATCTGGTTTGCTGGTGTAATTGTGGGTTTCTGTGCATGTGTGTCGCACCAAGCTAGCAAGCCTCTGTTTAAGATTGCCCTGAGCGTAACCCCAACCTAGCCTTCAACTCCACACACACACACACACACCTGATACCCCTCATGTCGTCATCAAAGTCACCCGCGCTATTCACTAAATTGAGAAATTGGTTCCAAACCCGAACAGCAAAAGGCTGGTCCTGCTCAAACGCTTCTCATTTCGTAAAAGCGTTTTCCACGGATAAATTAGTCGGCTAGATAGATACTGTTTCCTTTCATTACTGCTTACTAAAATCAGACGCTATGGACATTGTTCAATGCTTTCCCTCCCTCTGTCGCTCCATCCTTCCATCCGGTCAGCTCCATTTGTTTCTCAAGTAGTGTCACCCAGCATCATATATATATTTATATACATATAACGGCTCAGAGATGGAGAGCTGCCCCATTCTCTCTGCCCGTACACTGTGTCCCTTTAATCATAGTTTTCATTTCAGAACATTGAAATTTCCCTTACCAAGGACAACGTCATAAATAAAGACAAAAAAGGGTTTTGCGGAGGAAAATTTTGTACCTGCTCGCTCCCTAACTTTTTGTGCATTAGGGGACCGGATAAAAAAGACAAGCTGGTCATCTGTGAAAATTTATAATCATTTATTATGTGGCAGCTGGCGAGGCGAAGTAAGTAAAAGCGTGAAGGCAGACATCCATAAAAGGGGACGTGAAGCCCCTAAATGAAAAGCAAAGTGAATTCCTGTGTCTTGTCACAGGTAATGAGGAGCAAGGGCCTTTCTTCTCCCCGGGAGTACAGTGCGTTCGCTCTCACTCACAAATTCGAGAAGGATTTATCTGCGTTTGACACAGAATGGCACGTAGAGTGACCTAAACAAAAATACTTTGAAACGCATTTTCAGAGTGTGTTATTGATTCCATCTGTATCTCCGAATGAGCACGTCCTGATTATCCGGATGAAATCACGCTTCCCGATGCATTGCGTTCTCTGGGGTGCCGCGTGTTTTTTTGGGAACACATCATTCAGTAGTTCCGACTGCGTTCTGTTTTTAAACAACGGAATTATTCCCTAATTAGTTTCGTTCGGAGATAATTTATGCCTTTTGTTTGATGTATAGCAATACAATCCCTTTGCATACATTTCCACCATTTTAGAGCTGAGTTCAAAAGAAATGCTTTTTTTTTATCCCCCCCCCCAAAATACAATGCATTTACATGTGCTCCATTTTTTCGTGTTTGTTTTTAGCTCGACATTAATGAATTAACTTTTTAAGCAATCCGTCGTTATTGTTTTGGTGCCATTTTATTTTTAACTCAATTATATTCTAATTGATCATTTTTCATAATATGCAAGGGATGTTTTTCCCACTTTGTTCCGAACACAATGGATGGTTAAACACAAATAAGGCCCATGATCAAAAACATGATAATTCATTTGCAATACTAAATAGAAAATTGACAGTCTAATGCAAAACAATGGTATGTGTGCCGCATTGTGTTTTACCCCCTGCTATCACTGGGTATTGATTCCTTGGAGGAGTCATGGGTACTGTAGTGCAGTTAGATTACACAGAATTATAAAGGGGATAATTCGGGTTTAGAAAGTTTAAAACTGGATTTAACTTTTTAACAATGTTTAAAATGTTTCACTTTAAAACATAATTGACTTTATTTCTTTATTAGAACATTTATTAATAATAATATATTAAAATATGTTAATATAGATATAGTAATAATACACTCTAAACATTGCTGGGTTGTTTGAACCCAACTTTTGGGTTTGTCCATATTTGACCCAAATTCGGGTTGAAACTAGTCAGCTTTTTTTAGAGTGTTATAACGTCAGTATAACACAGTTATTATTAAAATGAATGTTTAAATAACAAATATTTATTTACCTGAATATGTTTAAATTAATATTCAGTTAAATTATGAATAAATATTAATGTTACGAATAAATATGGGAAATCGTTGTGGTGTTCATGAAGATGTAAATAAATGTAAAAGCTTACACATTTACCCAAATTTTCGTCATTGTAGTACTGATGGATCAGACCTGTTTGCCTAATAGTGGCAAAACACATACGTACGACATCTGACAAATTAGTTTGTCCGTCAAGAACCAGAAAAAAAAACCCCAACAAACTTGTGCTTGATACTTGTGTTTCAGATCTTTAAAATAGGGCCCACTGTCTTAAGTTATCAAATATATCTTTATTATTATTATTATTAAAATAAATGTGTATTATTGATAATTGATATATTAACATTGAATTTGTTTAAATAGAAACATCCATATAAATAAATCTTCGTTTTAAATATAATAAAGATTTATTTAAATAATCATAATACCTTTTTTTCTAAGTCGTATATAGTCTGTACAACATCATACTGTCTTAAAGGGTTAGTTCACCCAAAAATGAAAATTCTGTCAGTATTTACTCACCCTCATGTTGTTCCAACCCTGTAAGACCTTCGTTCATCTTCGGAACACAAATTAAGATATTTTTGATGAAATCTGAGAGCTGGATCACTCCTCCATACTAGTCCATAGGCTTCTTGAGGGATTGAAATTTGCCGGCCTCGAAAAGTTATTAAAACTTAAAAAGAAAAAGTTAACAATTACATTGTTAAAATAGTCCAAGTGTCTCAATCTTAACTTTATCAAGCGACGAGAAAACTTTTTGTGCGCGATCACTCCTCCATACTAGTCCATAGGCTTCTTGAGGGACTGAAATTTGCCGGCCTCAAAGTTATTAAAGACATCGTTAAAATAGTCCAAGTGCCTCAATCTTAACTTTATCAAGCGACGAGAACACTTTTTGTGCGCAAAAACAAACAAAAATAATGACTTTATTTGCACTATTCACTTCCTTCTCTAGATCTACGTCACACGTACACTCACTATTGGCCGACGCTAGTCATGTGTGTGATGCGTGTGACGTACAATAACAGAAGCTTACGTTATTAAACTAACTGACTAGAGGCGCAAAGAGAAGGAAGTGAATAGTTGAAATGAAGTCGTTATTTATATTTGTTTTTGTGCAAAAAGAAGTTAAGATTGAGCCACAGTTGGACTATTTTAACGATGTCTTTAATAACTTTTTGAACTTTTTTCAATCCCTCAAGAAGCCTATGGACTAGTATGGAGGAGTGATCCACCTTTCATATTTCATCAAAAATATCTTAATTTGTGTTCCGAAGATGAACGAAGGTCTTACGGGGTTGGAACAACATGAGGGTGAGTAAATACTGACAGACTTGTCATTTTTTGAGTGAACTAACCCTTTAAGTTGGTGTTGTCTTCATGCCTTTGGTGTGAGCGACTCAGGTTCGAATCCACTGTGAGACACCAGTGTGTTCCTGAGCAAGACACTTAACCCTAGTTCCTCCAGAGGCATGTGACCTCTCACATATATAGCAATTGTAAGTCGCTTTGGATAAAAGTGTCAGCTAAATGAATAAATGTAAGTTATCATCATACTAGTTACATTTATGTCAAAATAAACATGATTTTTTGTAGATTTTCATTTATATTTGTCATTTTGATTTTCATAGACTGGTATAGAAAAAACATTTTCTCTTATTTTATGGTAGACATCACTGGTACTTTAACAGTAGTTGATGGCGCCGCATGGCCCGATGGGAGATCTGTGAAATAAAGAGGGCTGACATCACAGGCAACATATCCAGAACAGACCCCCAAATCACGCTGTCAATGATGTTCATTATGATCCAGCTGTGGCAAATTGGACGTTCCAAACTCTAGCTTGATTGATGTCACTCTATCACAGGTGTCAGATACGACAGGCATTAAGCTCACAGAGCAAAATATGGCAATAATCTGTTACAGATATATTGAAATTACATTTGAATTCATTTTTTTTAGGAGGCATGAATTCAGCTGGTCATGGCAAGACTTTGGGGTTGAATTTCTTCAGAATTGAAGTTACAGTATTGTACAGTATGGATACTTTTTGTATGTATATTTCATAGAACATTTTCAGTCATGATGAAAGTAAAAAAGCAGAAAAGGGTTGACCTTAAGTTAATGCAACTTTTAATTTTCTTCCTTATGATGTTCAACTTTTATATTCAATACCTAGGCCCACAATCTAAATAAAGAAAAATTGGTACTTTTTTCCCCTCAAGGGCAGTTCATGCATGCACTTTTCAGACCTGAGGGTTTTTTTCTTTTACCTTTCTTTCATTTTATAATTGAAGACAGATATTTAGAGTAGATGCTTCTTTCAAATTGTTTTGTTAACTTGAATTGGTTTTTCTATTCCTTTTCTTTTGCTTTCTTCCATACTAAACCCTTTGCTTGTAGTGAAGAATAGGCTTTCACAAAGCTACGGTAACCTTGGGCCGAAGTTCTGAGCAGGGTTATGCATGTTCAGACTGGTTTCAGAAATGCTTTTCATACTGTTCTTTTTTGTTCGAATAATTCCAGTAGCTCGAATAAAAAAAGAAAAGATTCCTAACAACTTCTTTCTTTTTTCTTTTGCAGGGTCTCTTCATCTTCCTGATATATGGAGTGTACAACACTGAGGTAAGTCCGCAGTGCATCTCAAGGCTGACTGAGTGAGTGAGAGAAATGACATGATGTTTCTGATGGGACCCCCACCCCGCCAAAGGAAGGTTAGGGGGGTGGCGGATTGAAAGCGAGACTCTTTCTTTTTTTTTTTTTTTTTCCACATGAGCGTCCCACTGCCCTTCATGCTTGGGCTAACTTATATGCATCCAGTCCCACCATTAAACACTGACACCCGGAGTAAAGAGCCAGTCATCCCTCAACCACATTGGCCAATATTTCACTGCCTCTTTAAGTTTTTAAACTCATGGTCTTCCATTTAACATTCTGACATTAGAGCTCTCCGCCGGTTCAGACTCAGAGGCACAGGGAGAAACGGATATGTATGCAGGATGGCGGGAAGATCGGGGGGAAATTTACCTGCAGAATTGCTATTACCATTTAGATGCTCTTCTGAAGAGTGGAGAACTAAACACTAGTGTTATGAATTGGGGATGAGGCGAATTTGGTCTAAATTGGCGTCTTGGAATTCAAATGCGAACAAGGCATCTATCTATCTATCTATATCTATCTATCTATCTATCTATCTATCTATCTATCTATCTATCTATCTATCTATCTATCTATCTATCTGTCTGTCTGTCTGTCTGTCTGTCTGTCTGTCTGTCTGTCTGTCTGTCTGTCTGTCTGTCTGTCTGTCTGTCTGTCTGTCTGTCTGTCTGTCTGTCTGTCTGTCTGTCTCTACCCGTCTGTCTGTCTATCTATCATCTATCTCTCTGTCTGTCTGTCTGTCTGTCTGTCTGTCTGTCTGTCTGTCTGTCTATCTGTCTGTCTATCTATCTATCTATCTATCTATCTATCTATCTATCTATCTATCTATCTATCTATCTATCTATCTATCTATCTATCTATCTATCCTTCTGTCTATCTATCATATGTCTGTCTGTCTATCTATCTATCTATCTATCTATCTATCTATCTATCTATCTATCTATCTATCTATCTATCTATCTATCTATCTATCTGTCTGTCTGTCTGTCTGTCTGTCTGTCTGTCTGTCTGTCTGTCTGTCTCTACCTGTCTGTCTGTCTATCTATCATCTATCTCTCTGTCTGTCTGTCTGTCTGTCTGTCTGTCTGTCTGTCTGTCTGTCTGTCTGTCTGTCTGTCTGTCTGTCTGTCTATCTATCTATCTATCTATCTATCTATCTATCTATCTATCTATCTATCTATCTATCTATCTATCTATCTATCTATCTATCTATCTATCTATCTATCTATCCTTCTGTCTATCTATCATATGTCTGTCTGTCTATCTATCTATCTATCTATCTATCTATCTATCTATCTATCTATCTATCTATCTATCTATCTATCTATCTATCTATCTATCTATCTATCTATCTATCTGTCTGTCTGTCTGTCTGTCTGTCTGTCTGTCTGTCTGTCTGTCTGTCTGTCTGTCTGTCTGTCTGTCTGTCTGTCTGTCTGTCTGTCTGTCTATCTCTACCTATCTCTACCTATATCTATCTATCCTTCTGTCTATCTATCATATGTCTGTCTGTCTATCTATCTATCTATCTATCTATCTATCTATCTATCTATCTATCTATCTATCTATCTATCTATCTATCTATCTGTCTGTCTGTCTGTCTGTCTGTCTGTCTGTCTGTCTGTCCGTCCGTCCGTCCGTCCGTCCGTCCGTCCGTCCGTCCGTCCGTCCGTCCGTCCGTCCGTCCGTCCGTCCGTCCGTCCGTCCGTCCGTCCGTCCGTCCGTCCGTCCGTCCGTCCATCCATCCATCCATCCATCCATCCATCCATCTATCTATCTCTACCCGTCTATCTATCATCTATCTCTCTGTCTGTCTATCTGTCTGTCTGTTTCCCATGTTTTGTGCTCTCTGCTCCCATTAAATGTAGTTTGATGAAGTGCAGTATCACGGCTGATCTGATAGTGGACTAACAGTTCAATGTGGTTTCAAACTTGAATTGCTCAAGTGGCAGGAAACTTCCAAAATTATTAATGTATTGATTTATTTAATATAATAATACAAAAATTATAATTTAATCAATTCATATTTTTAAATAATGTCATTTGAAATGTTAACACAATATTTAAAATATAGCAGACCGAACTCTCTTACCTGACTCTTAGCACATGGATAAGTGGAGTTCGCAGGCCTTAGACCTAGCGTCCTTTTTCCTCCTCTCCTTTCTCCATCTCCTCCATGAGTTTTGATGAAGCTCCCCTGCCTTTTGTCTACCTTTGCTTCTACCTTTTCAGTGCCTACAAAAGAGGTGTAAGGAGATGGCCCTGAGAGCGGGCCCCGTATTGACACAGCAGAGACTCGCCGGTGACCCTCTCCGCATTGTAAAATAAATCATCGCTGCATTCTTGCTTAACAGGCTTTTTTAGTATGTCGGAATCTATTTTCCAACCCCCGGCTCTCCTTGACCCAGAGGTCTTCACAATTTGTGAGCAGCTCGTGTCTGCTTTACACTTTTTTTGAAGGGGGTTCTGTAAATATAGAACGTAATAATCTGAACCTTTCTTTTTTTGCGATTTTACCTCGTTCCCTTTGTGGAGTTAAATGACAAAAAAACAATGCCTGATTAAGTTTCACCATCTGACACCACAAAGGAAATTCTCATATAATTGAAAAATTGCGTAGAATGATCAAAGTGTTTGTATACAAAGGCCAACACAAAGAGCGGAAGAAAGAGGCCAACGTGAAACGATCAACCTTCTCTGATTTTTAAAGAAATTCACATTTCTCCTGGGACAAAAAAAACAAAAAAAAAAAAACGGTTTCACACGTCTGTACTGTTGATTATCTCAAGAGAAACATACGAGTGAGAATATGTAAAAGCAGCCATTCGTGAGAGAGATCCCGAGAGATTCACATAGCTTGCCATTTATTCCTAATGTGCATACGCCATTAGTTAAGACATGAGAATATTTTACAGTCAAATACTTAAGCCATGTCAATTATGTACAGTGATTTGATGAACAGGAGATTGCTTGTATTAATAAAATATTAATTATGCCCAGTATATTGTGTACTCCTGCTTAGAATTAATATAATAACAGGTTGAAATTCAATTTGATGATCATTTCCCTTTCTAATTTCTCTTTGAGATTATTTATATATAGATCATCCCACCCTAAGAACAAATTAAAACTGACTGCTTTGATCATTAAAATTTTTTTTTATATAATTGACTCTGTTTTCACTCGGTTTATGACCTCTGCCTTTTCTTTTCTTTAGCAAATGTATCCATTTGCATTGCTTTCATATGGAAATTTTATCTAATGTATTTTTATATGGAACATTAGGGCTACATCACTTTAAAACCTTGAGAGGAAAACAGCTAAACTGCTTTTAAGAGCAGCATCTTCAAACCAGTTCCTCCAGTTGCTGGAAATGCTCTTTCATCAAACAGCTTTCTATGATTTTGGTGATTTGATTTCTTAGTTCTATTCGTTAAAGCTGCAGCGAACTTGATTTGCTGAAAAGAAAGTGTGAGAGAGGGAGAAAAGAGTGTCTGTTTGCAAATCTGACATATTACCGTTGACTCCGAGCTGTCAGAGCTTTTCAGTTCTCTTCATTAACTCTGTCATCACAGTGATCGTGTCTGTTCAAAACAAGGCGGTGTGTGTATATCTGCATGGCAGCAATAATTTATGACAACAGCAGAGGCTAATGAAGTCATAAGAGCTAATGCATATTCACCAGCGTAGGGCTGGAGCTTGTGCCGGACTCGTGCTGGGAAATGCAGGCAGGTTTTTTTTTTCCGGTCACTGACAGTCGGGCTGGAAAATAATATCTAACAGGCCAGGAAACAGCTGGATTGGATTGTAAAATGTGAGGAATATTGTCATACAGAAAATACAATCACTGTAAAAAATATTTTCAAGATTTGTTATCACAACATATTTTCTTTTGTCAAATCAACTTTATAATAATTTATTTAGTTGAGATAACTTACTATTTTGAGTTTCTGATGGTTAAATTAATATACTTCATTGTATTAACTCACTTTTTCCAGTTCAGTCAACTTAAAATTTTAAGGCAACCCAGGTTACTTACTTTTTTAAGTTAAACCAACAATATTGTTTTTACAGTGTAGTAATCACAACATTTTTTCTTTTGTCAAATCAACTTAAATAATTTATTTAGCTCAGATTACATATAATTTTGACTTTCTGATGATTAAATCAGTCTCCTTCTTTGTATTAACTCACTTTTTCCAGTTCAATGAACCAGGTTCAACCAGGTTACTTACTTTTTTAAGTTAAACCATCAATATTTTTTTACAGTCTCTATACACACACACACACAACGACTCCTAGTTTGCAAAATTATATATAGCATAATGTGTAATATAAGTTTGTAACATGTTACATTTTATATACTTTTTATATTAAAATAAATGTAAATAGGAATATATAATTTGTAATTAATTGTATAATTTTACTTTAAAAGTTTTAGTAAAACTGTGTGTGTGTATATTGCATTATTTATCTTAATATTCTTTAATATATTTAATCTGAACATTGAAAGTTCCACTTTTCATAAAAATATGTTGTAATTTTATTATTGTATGTTTATGTTTTTTTTTCTTCTGTTGTCTATTGATGCTTTTACTGGAAAGCGCCTGGTGCACCTTTTGGCTGTTGTAAGGCGCTATAGAAATAAAATTTGATTGATTGATTGATTGATTGTGAATAAATAACATTACTTATTTGTTCTGCCCACCCCCACCCCCCAAAAGGCATTTTTAAGTTTAGCAATTGGGCGATACTGTGACATCATAAACGTGATGCTAGAAAAAAGGCTTTGAATTTGATGTGTATTTACAAGTAATCGACTTGAGTTTATTGTACTGTGTGTGTCATTCTACATGCATCGCCCAACATCCCAGGTTTTCTCACACAGTCCAAATGTAATTTGTTCCGCAAGGGTGGTCGTTTCCTCTATCGCTTCATTTCCGCGGCCCCCTGTGCGGTGTGACGGATGAGAGGTTAAGACGCTCCCCTTACTTTGCCCACTCTACGTGTCACATTCAGGACCCATTACATGTGACAAACTGGAACATTTTGGTCTGCGGCACTCATTGACTTTTATGCAATGGCAGCTATTTTCTTTCTCCATTCCCAGTCGGGATTGAATTTCACCAAGAAGACTCATGCGAGCGCAAAGTGTTTTGTATTAAGTGTTTAGTATTGAGTCATGACATTTTAACCATCCACCCCCTCCTTGTTATCCACAGGTTCGAAACACAGTCAACAGAATCAAAGAAAGAAGAAAAGCCTTAAATTTCTCCGTAAGTTCTCCCAGCTTGCATGTTTTCCAGAATACCAGAGGATTTCTTCATACAGTGCAAATGTCATAGCGTAGAGTGTATTTTGTGCATGTTTGGCCCCCCCAGCCCTGTTTCACACACCCACTCAGGCCACCTCAATCCAGCCAATGTCAAGCAGCAGCCCTGGGTTACATGTTTCTAATCCTGTGGAAACTCGTCCCTTCACATTAAACTGTCAGGCCAGTATTTATACGCGAGGCTGCTGTTGACGGAGATCACTTAGCTTCACCAAAGCGGTTTAAAAGTAGTTAATAGACACCCCCTCCCCCCAATGGCGCACCACCTCACCTCTACCGACACTACGAGCGGTTCCTCCATGAATGGCCACATTAACTCTCCTCCGGGCTTGTCACGGTTTATGGCCTACGGCAGTTTGTCCCGCTCGGCCCTTGCAGTGCCACCAGGTCATTGAGAACGGAATGAGACAATTTCTAAAGGCGGATTGATTTTAGAATATGGCCCCCCTCCCTCTTCCCTTTGACCCCCCTGACAGGCCCGACACCGTTAAGACTGGGACTTGTAAAAAACGACTGTGGCCCCAAACGCGAGTGCCAAGTAGCAGCTGATAAATCGTAGCGGGTCGTATTAGCAGTGGGACCCTTTAGCGCTCTCTGGGCAATTTTCCAATTTTCAAAGTCCACGTGATGAGATTCGCCGTCCGCGTGTGGCGGATGGTTTTTTAGCTAATGCCGTTTTGCGTCATAAATCTAGAGGTGATATACTGTATCTCGCCGAATAGCTTTGGTGCTGGACAGGGTCCAGAATGGGAAAGGAAAATGTACTCTTCTTTATTGGATTAGAGCAGTGGTCAGGGAATGTACTGACTTCCAATATAGTAGTAATAACCTACAAGATGTACTCTAGATGGATGTTTGTTTTTTCCCTGAGGGAATCCTTACGTTTATTTGTCAACTCATCGTAGAGTAATCGAATGTTTATTTCTGTAACAGTTTGTCCAAGACCACCATAGCAACCACCTAGAATGCCCTGGAAACCAACTAGAGCACCATTAGCACTATGATAGCAACCACTCAGAACATCCTAGCAACAAACCAGAACACTCTAGCGATTTTTAGCAAAAGTGTGTCAGACAACCCTCTGTCTGTCTGTCCCTACCTCCATCCCTCCCTCCCTCCCTACCTCAATCCATCCCTTCATCCAGCCATCCATCCATTCCACCCATCCATCCATCCATCCATCCATCCCTCCCTCCTTCTATCCAGCCATCCATCCATTCCACCCAACCATGCCTCCCTCCCTCCATCCAGTCATCCATCCATTCCACCTATCCACCCACCCATCCTTCCATCCATCCCTCCCTCAATCCAGCCATCCATCCCTGCCTCTATCCATCCATCCATTCATCCATCCATTCCTCTATCCAGCCATCCACCCATTCCACCACCCATCCATCCATCCTTCCATCCATCCATCTCTCCCTCAATCCAGCCATCCGTCACTCCCTCTATCCAGCCATCCATCCATTTCACCCACCCATCCCTCCCTCCATCCAGTCATCCATCCATCCATCCATCCATCCATCATCCCTTCACCCATCCCTCCACATCCATCCATCCATCCATCCATCCATCCATCCATCCCTCTATCCAGCCATCCATCCCTCCCTCCCTCCCTCCCTCCCTCCCTCCCTCCCTCCCTCAATCCAGCCATCCATCCCTCCCTCAATCCAGCCATCCATCCCTCCCTCTATCCAGCCACCCGTCGCTCCCTCTATCCAGCCATCCATCCATTTCACCCACCCATCCCTCCCTCCATCCAGTCATCCATCCATTCCATCCATCCATCCATCCATCCCTTCATCCATCCATCCCTTCACCCATCCCTCCCCATCCATCCATCTCTCATCCATCCATGTAACCCTCCTTCCATACATCCATCCCTCAATCCATCCATCCCTCTATCCATCCCTCCATCCATCCATCCATCCATCCATCCATCCATCCCTCCCTCTATCCAGCCATACATTCCATCCATCCCTCCACCCATCCATCCCTCCATGCATCCATCCATCTATCCACAATACATCTCTCCATCCAATTTGGAAATCTAATTTTTGTGATGGAATGGTGAAAATATCAAACACTTCAGCTTTAAATCGATAATTAGCTCTAGACAGTTATTGTTATTAATAATAAATTACTAGAAGCAATGAATCATCATTTAAAATAATAATCATACAGGTTTCTCGAGGATCTTTCACATCTCATGAAAATAGTTTCTGTAAATGGCAGATAATGAATACACAGCATGATATTAAAGCCCCATTTGCTGAACTTCTGTAGCGGCTTATTAAACACCTCTCTCGTTCTCTCCTTCCCACTTTAGTTTCTGTACTTGTCGTTCTTGTTTATTCATGAGCCAGACCAGTGTTGCCAGGGCGCTTCATTCCAACTGTCGCCTGACCCATGTGACCTCACACTTGTACATACTGTGGCAGATTGCTTGAGAAAAATAAAGCTGTCAGTTGCACCGGCCAAATGAAAAACGAACGTCCTGCGATACTAGCAGGGTCTGGATCCCTGACAGCCCTGAAATATAGATATAAATTGGAAGCAGATTAGTTTTTTGATCCTAATTCAAGTTTTGACACGATATAGGACGGAAAAGAGAGGGATCTGTACTACATATATGTGCATTTCCTGTTGTAAAACGTTTACACGTATGATTTTAAATACTGATATAGTGCTAGGTTATGCATGATCTTCTTTCTGAGGAAAAAGCCTTCTCAACTACGGTTGCATGTCAAAGCCCATTATATGTTATTGTGTGATATGAGGGCTAAGGCTGTGGGTTTTTATGTCAGATCTAGTTTACATTCCTGTGAGACTATTTATTTTGCGGTTCTTCCATACATGTCTGTGTACTTTTTAGTTGTGTATTGTGTCATGACTTCTTAGCTGTCAGCTTTGACTTTTTTCAATATTTAACATTAGTTCCTGTTGTTATTCCTCAATATGTCTTTAATCGGTCAATTCACCCACAATGAATGGTGAAATCAAGAAAACTGCTTTCTCTCTCTTTCTGAAAAAAAAAAGCTACCGATGATTATAATGGACACATATTTAATGATAGAAAATGCACAATAGAGGCCTTTTCACTGGTGATTTCTAGCCTGATAGTAAGTTTCACTCAATGCATTTGCCTTCTCTTCCTGTTTCACAGAACTGCGCCAGTTCCAGGCCCTCCAGTTCGGTGGGCAGTTCTCGGCCGGGCAGCTCTCCATTGCCAGTTGTCTTTGACGGGCAGACGGTCACAACCAGCGTCTCCAGCAGTTCCTCGACCCACAGTGACAACATCACCCAGAGTTACGACAAAACCAGTGAGTCGTTGCTTTATTTATTGATCAAACACCAAAAACAAAGCATCTTTTTTTAGGGCTGATTGGCCAGCTTAGATGATGTACATGTATATTTGGGTTTGTGCATATATGTGTGTGTATTTTCAAATGGCAGTGTGTTTATATAAAGCAGAGCTTGAAAAATCTGTCCTAAATTATGGCGAGAGGAAAAGTAGCGATTGGCAAAGAGGGTGAACTCTTAACATGACAGGCCTGTTTTGGGACTGTAACATTCTCCAGACCCAGAAAAATGACGGGCTTCAATCGCCTTCTTTGACCCCAGCGTTTCAGGTCTGAATCGTAGTAATCTCAAAGGGAGTTCACGAAAATGAGAGATTTCATAAAGAGAGAAGGGAGGGATTGAAGGGAAAAGAGTCATTTTGTAAATAATATATAATATTGTATTATTATTATTATTATTACTCATCCCTTTTGATTCTGGTGGGTCAGTCTATAATATAACTAATATATTCCCACTTTATATTTAAATAAAAAATTAAAGTTTAAGTAATATTAAGAATAAAAAAGTTTTTTTTTTTTTTTTTTACTTGTCAATTTTGAGATTTTGGGATATTTGTCTTCTTCTTTCAGACTTGTGGTGAAAAAAGTCCAAAATACACATTTAGGTCTTATTTTTACCACACTTTGTCTGTTTGCGTCTGCAGATTTCTCATAAATTCTTCAAAAGTTGTCGTTATAAATCATCCTGCTGCTCAGCGATCTGCACCCTGTCATCACACACACCGTTAGAAAGCTCTCTTTCTCCTATACAATGCTGTCGGATCCAAATATGGTAATTTCCTTTTTATCAGCAACCAATCGTGAAAGTAAAAGAGGGGATTTAACTCTAAATGCGCGATCTCATTGGCTGACGCTAAATCTTTAAAGCCAGTTTTCTCAAAATGACTTTTCTCTCATTCTCTAAGTCTGAAATCTCCACTTCAATAGCACCCATATACACCAAACTTTCCAGTCTTGTACCTAGTTATATTATGAAGACATTTACAAAGGGATTTGTAAATATATTATTTCTAGCCTGATTTATATAACATTTTATTTAAAAAAAACATGGCGAAAATATTTTTTTTTAAGGCTACTGACATATTCTGATTTACAGGATAACACAAGTAGATATCCATAAATCCCTTTGTAATTTTCTAATATGTGAACACACTGAAAAAAGAATTTTGAACCAAAATATCCAATACTCAGATTTCGTTTTTAAATTATATGCAAATTAGTGCATATTTAATTAGATAATGCCTCATTTGCATGTTTAAACATTAAATTACAGAAAACTTGTAATATATTTTTTTCTCATCTTAATGTAGGTAATCAACTGGGAAAGTTTCATGGTGATATCTGCTAGTGTCTCGCCTTAAGAATGTGCAGTACTCCATATTTACTATACTATATTGATAATCCATATTTAATTAAATGATTCAAATTAAGTAAATGCACACTCTATATATTTACCACATTGATACTACTATATTTACCACATAGCTTATCTTTTCTTGCACTAATTATGACGTGGCCAATCAGAGAGCAGAATCACATATGCACTAATTCATATTGATTGACAGCTGGTATTATCCAGCCCATTACTCAAGGTGAATTCGCTCTGTGAGGAATGAAATGGCAGTTTTAGCCTCCTATGTGTGCGCAAACCACATGCAAATGCAGAAGGGGCCGTCCCGTGCATGTGAGCGATGCAACTAATCATTTTGACGAGACTCGCCCGGACTCTTGCCGTAATCGGTTGCGATGCGGGCCATGATTGAATATTTGTTTTTAATGCCGTGCAATTTTTTAAACCAGTCAGCCAGCCACACGACTAAGTGCTAAGAAGAAACGTATGTATAATGTAACCAAGAGGGAGAGAGGCGCTCATACGCATATGAGCCCAACTGTGAAAGGCCTTGTGTTGAAACAAATAGGGCCAAACCCACAATAAATGCTGCCGTATGTCCTGATTGTATATAACTGATTGTTGTGTCTCTTCCATTCAAGGTCAAGTAATTCTCGAAGCCGAGCGAGCGTGAGGAAAAGCGTTTGTTCGCTTTTGATCAATTCATGTCTTTCCCTCCTTTGAGGAAACTGTTTCAATCTGCCAATTACGACAAAGAGGACGTGTTAAATAAAGATATTAGGAAAAGACAAGTGTTTGTGGAAAATAGAGAAGCGCGACAAAGGAGTTTTGACCAAGTTTAAACAAGTCGTTTTCTTCTTTTGCTGTCCCTTTCATTATTTTACGTTATATCTTCAGTACATTCACCAATAAATCTGAAGGTCAAGGGGGACAGTACTATTTTGTATGCTTTGTATGCCGCCTTTTGAATGGGTGACCTTAAGAATGCAGAAACAAGTCAATCAAAAGGCTGCAGTTCTGAAGGGGCAACTTAAAAAGCTTGATAAAAGTGGAAAGTTCGTCTCCACACTCCTTTTTAGTCGTAAAAAATTCTGCAAGACATCCTGAAGGAAGTTGCGAGACACAAAGCGAAGCAACTGATGCTGGTAGGTCACATGACAGTGACAACATAGTGAATGTAGTACATCCGGATTATATTCACACTACACACATTTATACAAATTTAACAGTCGCAACGCAATACTCATTCAAAACAACCGACTCAAGAGAGTGAATGGACAAAGGGATCAATTAATAAACTAATCAATAGTATGATAATGTTACTGTATAATCAGATAATTTTATTCCTATAATGAAGGATTACATATACTCTTTATTTCTTATTTAAAAATGACTGTTCTTATAAATGCATGCTGGTATGAAATTGTTTTGCAGAAGTCAAAAAATTCATCAATTTGAATCTACTATTATTAAATTTATATATAATATAATGGTAATACAAATGAAAATATTCCAAACTTTTGACCATTTACTATATATATATATATATATATATATATATATATATATATATATTAGGGCTGTCAAACGAGATTAATCACATCAAAAATAAAAGTTTGTGTTTACATAATATATGTGGGTGCACTGTGTATAAGTATTTTGTATATATATAAATACACACACATGCATGTATATTTAAGAAAAAAAATATTATTTATATATAAAATATATATATTTATATATAATATAAATTATATATAAATCTATATACAGTATATACATTAAGATATTTCTTAAATATTCATGCATGTGTGTGTTTATATATATATACAAAATACTTATACACAGTGCACCCACATATATTATGTAAACACAAACTTTTATTTAGGATGCGATTAATCATGATTAATCGTTTGACAGCCCTAATATATATATATATATATATATATTTAGTAACTGCTCTTATATATACTTTCTGATGACTATGTTTATATATATTTCATTCTTTATATATATTTATAACAATAAATTCATAAAAAAATATACTCCTTTTTAGCAGTTAGTTGAAATGAAACTTTTACAAGTCTCAAAGTCATAAGTATATCTCTCAGTTAGTTAGCATATGGTTGTGTCAGTAATTTGTTGTTGCATTCCTACATTTTCAGCGTTGCAAATGAAAGTTTATGTTTGGTGTCACAACAAATTATTGCGTTTCAATCTCTAATGAAATGCTATAATTTGTTATTGCATACCGACATGCAACGTAACACAGCAGCGTATAATTCTGCCAGTGTTACAAGTGGATCTTTGGCGAAGTTGAATCCATCTGTTGTCATCCTCCCTCCCTCTACCACATACACACGCAAAGATTGACAACACATGACCTTGAAAACTGAGTTGTCTGACATTTTATATAAGATGTTTGTTGTTGTCCTGAATGAAGACCGTGTCATTTGATTGCACAGGCTGAATACACAACTACATATTGTTCGCATAAATACCCAAATAAACAGATTACAAAAATATGGTAGTGGTTAGATCCCTGTTTACATTTCTCTCTCTGAGGAAATTAAAAAAAAAAATCATCACATTCTCACTTTTTAACTCTTTCTTTCCTCCGATAAAGCTACTTGTGATCACACTGTCCGGATGATTGTGCAACTGATTTACTTTAAATAGAAGATTACATACAACCAGACCATATCTATTGAGTAGACTTGAGAAAACAAATCTATTCATAATTGTGTGAGTTTCCTTGTGTATCAGAGTGTGTGTTGGCATGATGAATGTCAGAGATAACAAATTGTACGAAAAAGTTGAATTTGTATCTGCTTAGGATCCTGGCTGCCTTATACATATGGCTTCAGGTTTCGTGGTAATAGGATCTTTGATAGATGGCAGCCCTCCCCAGTATCCCATTTTTTAAAAGATATTTATTTATTAATCCGTCTATTTATTCAGTCAGATCATCCCCCGCGGGGTCACTGTCTCACAACCACCTGCACCAGTTTTTTTCAGCTTTTTTTATCCTTTGCTTTATAGTTCACATCCAAAGTCGCTTATGCGCGTCTCAGTCGGCCGAACGCCATCGCCCACAGGCTAACGGAGGGTACGTTCTCCGTCACATCTCTCATCTCATGGGCCGAGGCCTTCCTCCATCTCTCCACCCCTTTTCTTAATTCTCGACACATGTCAAAAGGAAGCGTGCCTTTTAGTCTTCTCATGTGTTTGGAGATCTGACATCAATTCCTCCATATTTATATTGAAGCAAAATGCTCCTGGACCTTTAAGGAGAAGTGTGTTTGTCTACTCGTTTATGAAGATTCGATACACTCACTCAATTGGATTACAAAAAAGTAACTATAAAATGTACTCTATTTTTCTCCTACTTCATTGGCCACATACTTTCATGTGTTTCAGGAGAAGTGGATGAATTAGTGTGTAATAAATTCGACAGATACTATCCTCTGAACTGTGGCACAAACTAACATGGCGGAGCCATTTAAATGACAAAACCAGCGCTGTCTCATCCCAAGACGTCATATAACTGACGTCTTGGGACCATACGTCAACATCCGCCTTTTTAGGGTACCCTTAAACGTCGGTTAGA